ACTGTGGATCTTTTCTTCGGTCTTGGCGGTGTCTGTACGGCAGCTATCCCTCCCAGGAGGTCTGAGTTAGAGAAAGCAGTATCTCTGCCTTGTGTCACTGCATGCTGAGGAGAGTCATCAGTGTCCTAGGAACATTGGGGTCGCCCTGGGAACCCTTCTTTGGCTCAACTGATTGCTTTCTAGGAAAGTGTTAGGGATAAAAACTGAGAAAATAAACGTCTCCACCCCCGCAAGAGTGATGTATCATGATATATCTGAATCCACCTTGAGAACAGAAACCTGATTCCAAGCCAGAGAGCTGTGGGTAGCTGACATGGGGGTAAAAAATGTTGCACGTTGGAAGGCAGGAATTTGCAGCTCTCAAAGTTCACTGGACACATTCATCGTTGTGTTTGTAACAGCCAAGTATTTTGCTGGTGTAAGAAGGTATATGAAGCCCATCACAGCATTATACTTAAAAAAGCCATAAAAATGCTGTGCAATGAAATATATGCTGTCCTGAAATGCCTTGATGCTATCACAAAGCTGTTCAACTGTGATTCTCCTTGTTTCCCCAACTTTTTCGGTGCCCCTTAGGCAGGCATATAGACTGATAGATTTCTTTTATCTGTTGACTTTACATTGTTAGCTGGAGGATTTACAGTGTCTTATTTTATGGAAAGACTTGAGTTTATAATCATAGAATAAAACAGTTTTTAGTACTTAAAAAAATCCTTACTTTAATTAGCCAGTGTCCATATCTGTTGGCCCTCAGTTCTTATTTCTTTTCCTTGTTTCACACAAATGGGTGTGGAATTGGAAGGAAGAAGTTTAGGCATTAAAATGTACATTCCAGCATTATTTGTGCTGACCTGACTTTAATGTCTACAAGACTAGGGTCAGAAAAACCACTTTAATTATCTACAAACATCCAAGAGCTATGGACAAGAACCCCAGACTGTTGCTTTTAGCTATTGATAGGGCTAACCCCAGCACTGATGATAGTGTGGCAAAATAAAGATCCCCCAGAAACCCAGTTAATGGCATCTTTGTTCCTAACCTGTGACTTCATAGAAGTCCAAATACTTCAGGTCTTAAAAATTAAAAATATAAAGCTGAAGTGAAAATAATACTTTGGAAGTGGGGATGAAACAAACTCTTCCCTTTTCATCTTTCCCCAATGATTTGCAGGCAAACACAACCCCAGGCAACTTCCAAACTTCCATAATTGCATTGAATTCCTTGTTAATTGGGCTTTTCTCTTGCTATTGAGTTCTTTCTTGAATAATGCCTGCTTTATAATGATTTGTGTGCAGACAATAAATGTAGAGATTTAATAGAATGAAGGCTGTGGCTCCATACAAAGATATTTAGCCCTTAACTCCCAGTGAAATCAATACCTTTGCAAATCTCGTTATAAGTGACTTAGAATTAATACACATAAAATAGGATTGCTATTAAATATTTAAAGGATAAAAAGAGAATAACAACACTGTTCTCTGAAAAGTGACTGTAAAAATTGTATCTTTAGAGTTGCATGATAATTGTCTCAGTACCTTGATGCTTTTTATGTCATGCCATATGTGCTCAGTTTGAAAATAAGAAGTTGGTGACTGTGTCTGCAGACTCTGCAAACTAGAAGGGAAACTTGCCTCATTTCCTGCTTGGACTTTATCACAGGTAAAAAGGTCCTGTCTTCCCCCATCAGACTCGTCATGATGCCTGTTCCTCCAGTGAGAGTGGGGATAACAATTTGTTTGTGATTCACTAGAAGGTAAAGAATCCAAGTTACTTTCTCTTAGCAATACAGAGATAAGTGGACTAAGGAGGGTGAACAATATTTTTTGTTCTGAAAGAGGCTGTGACATAATTAATGAAGGATGCGGAGATGCTGATGCAAAATGTGCCTTTTTTCCCGGAGTGGAGTCATATGTTCAGAGCTTTTGGCTGGTACAGGAGTGCTGGCAGCAATGCCTGCGTCAGCAGGGATGGGTGTCCATCACAGCTTTGAGATGTGGCCAGGATAAGCAAATTGCATCTGGTCTGTCATTAACCCACTTACTCTTGCTAGTTTTCATGCATACCGTGTTTTTACTGAAAGGCTACCCAAAAGTCTAACAAGGAAAGATGGTTTGTTCTCCAATGCTAAACAAATGTAACCATCAGGACCATCTCTGATGTGCTCGGTTCTGGAGTCTAACCATGAGTGATTGAGGATGGTGGGACATAACTGGTGTGGCTGGAGTTCAAATCCAAAGCTTCCCTTACAACACTGTCAGGAAAAGGTAGATGAACAGTCATCGGCGAGACTGTTGACTTTAAGTGCACAAAGTGGTAGTCTTTCTCAGGCAACCATGGCCTTAGTTAAACATGGAGAGACAGGCAGTCTCCTGAATTTCTCGCTGTTCTGAACACATTTGGACTGTTTGTCCAACTGATTGCATAGCAGTACGGGTTCTGATTATGTTTTCTGTTTTCTTTTTCCTTTCCCCTAGTAAAACTCCTTCCACTTCTGTTCTGCGTAGAACCTCAGAGTAAAGGATTATGTACAGCAAATCTTACAAAAGCACAGTGACCACTATTCAGTTCATCCTTTATCCTATCATCAGTCACCTTTTCAGTGTTTTTGCATTTGCTCAAACTCTCTTGCTGTTAAACCACTGAAAAGTTTCCTGCTATTAGATCTGAGCAGAGAAACTGTTTTATCTACAGTGACCTGCACAGTTGCATCAGTCCGGTGGAGCAAACCCAGTAACAGGACTGTAGCTTGGACTGAGAAGATAAGTCTCATGATAAATCTTTCTGAAATGAGACAGAAGTTCTCAAAAGTCACAAACAGGCAAGTGGCTAAGGAAATGGTGAGGATATGACTCTTTCAGCTCAAATTTGCTTTACCCAAATCCCGGTTTATAAATTAAGATAACCTAGTCTTGCTACATCAGAAGAATGCTAATGTAACCAAGAGGAAACTATATTTTATTAGCAGCATACACTCTAGGGTTTGCTGATAATTGGGCTCATCTGCCAGGGTTTGCAGTTTGTCTGTACCCTTCCTCGTTGCTGTTTATCGGTCCACTCCAAAATTCTCAGCATCATGGTCACTGGTTTCCCTTTTAATGAAAAATGCAAGGCACATTGGCCAATACTGGTATACGGAATGATGTTCCATATGCCAGAAACTGCTGTCTCAGGTGAATGGAAGAGAGGTGATAGAACTGTCTTTCTGTCTTATCATAGTCTTTTTCAAGAGTCTTTCATTGACGTTGTATGACACTTCCCATTATAAGACTTAATTTCCGGAGTCCAGGATTGAAACTATGTTTCTTTAGTCAGTTTCCTTGCTGTCAACAAGTATTTAGTGAAACACTACCAAATGACCCTTCTGTCATACCGGTTTGCAGAAAGGATGGTATGCTGTCAGTTATTTCCTGACCTCAAGGAGGACCATCTACACATTCCAGCACTGGAGCTGGTGGTTGTGGTTGGCAGCTATTGTGCTTCCTAACAGAATTTCTGAAGATTTTATGCATTCCCAACACCCTGAATAGACATTTATTTATCAAGAAAACCTGTGTTATAACATTATGGAAGTGGCAAAGTGGTGAAGTCAAATAGTACTAGTGTAGCTTGTGCGGCTTGACGTAACCATCCTCTGCAAATGCACTATGGGAATCTTTCCTTACTTGGTAACACACTTCTTTTTCATACTGTCCTTGATCCAGACAGTGAGCGGATGGGCCATCTCTGAGGGTGAATTTGGTTTGTAGTAAGGGAGAGTCTTGTTCAGAAACAGAAAGTGGAAAGTATCTGGTGACTGAGACCATCTCAGGACAAGAAAGAGAGTCTCACAACAAAGTTGATTAAAGCCCTGGAGAATAAAATTCAGTCCTCTGATTTACCGCAGAGTTCACATATCAAAGTGTGAAGTGCATCGCATCAAGTTTTTAGAGATGGTCAGCAATTGTGTGTTCCCTATTTTTGTAACCTGTTTGTCACCTAATTTGCAATGCGCTTGGTATTTATGTCTCCAACTGAAATCGTTGTGAGCAGTACCTTGAATGTATAAAGTGCTGTGTAATGCTGGGTCCTCTGAAAAAACCGAGCCCGTGTGACCCAAATTAAGTATTCACTTTTCAGCTTGATCTCTCAGCACCAGGGAACTCATCTGGAGCAATGTTATTCCTCCAAAAGAATTTGCTGAACTTGAGTTGCGCAATGTTTGCAACACAGTCAAAGCAATCATGATTAGAGTGTATGAACCATAGCAAAATACTGCAGTTTTTCTATCAGGATTTGAATACTACCTCATGAATGTCCCTCCAGTCCACATGTTAAGCAATGAAATGAACACAAAATATCAGTGTTTGAACTTTTTGAATGTCTGTTTGTACAAGGAATGAAGAGGAATTCCCATGGAAGAATGCTATGTGACTAAGCAATTAGCAACTGTAGCATATTCCATACTCAATGAAGAAATAAAAGTTGCACAGGCAGGCTAACATTTGGCCTTTTCCGACATTTATGTTAATCACATTACAGTCTTAATAATGTTCTTTTCACACTGTGTTTATGTGAAATGTTATAGAAAGTAAATGAAGTCTATGTATTCAAGTGCCCTGAAGAACATTTAATGAGAAATACATGCTTTTTTTTACCAGATAGACATATAAAACTGAGTATCCTTCAGGGAAATAATGATAGCGATACATTTGTGTTTGAATAAAAAGACACAAAAGTTGATACCAACTACATAACAGATACCTTTAATCCTTTTTGAATAGCAGGGTATAGTATGTCTGTTGGGTTTACTACTATTGTTTATAAATGTAATCCTGCCACACAGTCAGGACTCTTTTGGGAAAACAGTGACCTAACAGATTTTAAGAGGCTTTTTGTTTAGTATGATTTTGCTGCTTGCAATTTCTATATAATAGTAACCACTCATTATTACTTATTTGTCATCAAAAATATGAGAGAGAGAAATAAATTATAATTAAACTTTTTTTTTTTTTCTTTTACAGATTTCTTTTACAATGCATTCTGCTCAGGCCAGTGAATTTTGTTTAACTGACCAGGTAAGCAAATATGCATAGTCACAGTTTTTTAATAAAAATGTTTTCCAGACATTAGGCAACTAATTCTGAGAGATTGACGTTCTGCATTGTTGGAGAAAATTTTCAAAATCTACTATAAATATGTTCAAAACACTGTTGTCAGTTTCTAATTTAAAAAATCTGTTGCAATTTCCAGAGTTCTATAATTTTCAATTAGAAACAGAATTTATTTTCCAGATGTGCTTAATTTTATTCTTTCTCTCCCTTCTTCTTTTCTTTTGTTGTCCAGTTTCTTCATGCTTTGTGTTGATATTTGTGTTTTTCAAAGCCTTACAAGTTGAGCTTTTTTTTTTTGTTGGGTGCTATCAGTCTCCCTCTACCTACCAGGATGTCAGCATTGCAAACAGGATTGTCTGATGAGAACTCCAGAGATGGTGTTTTAACACCTCAGGAATGACACAGCACCACTAGAGTGGCTGTTGGGAAGTGTAGATGGCTTTAGAAATTTATAAACACAATTTCTCTAGATCTGAAATTAATAAAATGCAATTATGAAATTAATGAAAGTGCAGTTAATAAGCTGGTTTGCTGGGTATCAAAAAATCAAGGCAAAGCACCAATTTACAATCTTACTGTACATAGGTCAATCTTACTGTGCATAGGTTGGTAGGATGGCTTGTATGCCTTCCCTGTGGAATTCCAGTTTGATTGGCTGTTGTTGTATGCTGTAGGTACAGTTTGCAGAAAACACTTTTTTGGCCATCTCTTTTGTTGTTATGGGTTTTAATGAGGGACTTGGGCAATGTAATTTGCATGCAGTAGAGCTTTAACATTGCCTACACCCTATTCGATCATTTTTTGATGCTTCTTATAGAGTGATGCGATACCTTGTTGGGAGAGAGAAGGGTGGACAAAATGAATTAAATATACTATTTTGTATGGAATATTTTGTTCACAGTATACAGATATGGTTTGCCTTAGATTTAAACTTCCTGTGCTTTTCAGATAGATTCATCTTAGCCCTGGTTAAAAGAACTAAATAGAGACAAAATAGTAAATAAGAACATGGTGTTCCTATGTAAGTCCTATGTTTCATGTTGAAATGTTCCATATCTCTAATACTTTATCAGCACTGTTAACCTCATCTTTATTTTAGATGAGATGGTCTCTTACCATCTTCTCATCATTCTAACTTCTTATCATGGGGTTTTTCTGTGGTGCTGCCACCACCTAGAAAGCTTTCTCGATCTCAGTTCACCAAGGAGAAATTTCTTCTCTTTGGATCTTCTCCTGAAAATTCATTTCAAACCCACTGTTCCCAATACCTTTGTTTCCTTTAAAAAACAGATGTGGACATCAGCTAGTGCTGTCTTGGGTTGCTCTAGTTTGATATTCCTGTTTTTTTTCTGAAAATTAGTCTGCAATAAGTCTTGCAAGCAGGGAGGGAAATCTTGAATTAAAAAACACCTGGTGATTTCCAATGTTAATCCTGAGGACTTCTCAAAAGCATTTCATATTAAAAGTTTGGTGACAAGGGACAAATGATCAAGGAACAAAATAGGCATTTTTTTTTCCAAATCTGGGCCCTCTTTTTCTGGATCTTCGACAGGTCCAAATTAGTCATTTCTCCAAGGTTCATTACTCAGGGTTGAAATTTTTTTATGGTATTTTGTTCAAAACATTGCAAGATATGATTATCAACAATAAATAAATCTGTTAATAATATAATTTTAACAGCTCTAGCAAAAAGATGGCTGTTGACAATCTCTGTTCTTCTTCTTATATCAAGGTGTCTCCTGAAGAGCTTGTCATGTCACTTGCCTTTCAGATAGAAATTGTAATGAAATTGTAATGCTTAGATTGATTTGGAATAATAATTGGTTTATTCATCAGTATGAGAAATCTGAGAAAAGAAACCATTGTGGCTCAAATAACAAATTTAATTTCATTTTTTTAACAGTCTTTGTTTCTTTAAGTATCATTAATCATTTTTCTGAAACAAAAATCAATATAATTCAGTAAGATTTCTCCAAACCTATCTTTAACAGAACAAATAATTTTCTTTTATTAGAAGAATGAAGTCAAATTAATCTGGATCATCTAAACTGCATTTTTGGTGAATAAACTATTTTATCCCACCTCTTCCTTGTACCTTCCATACCCTCTTACTCTGACCCCCCACTCCCAAAGATTGCCTAGTCTATGTTTCTGGATAAAATATGTCTGTCAGTCAATGACATTTTTTAAGAAAACCAGTCCAAAGGCAGAGATTAGACCCCCAAAAGAAGTTTTGTAGTTACAAACCATTTGCTCTCCTTACTGGGTTCATTTATGGACTTTTTTGTCCTTAATGGTGATGATTGTAGCCTTCATGAAGTAGGAAAAAATGAGCTACACCAGATACTTCTGCTCCATGGACATAATATGTCTTTGTATGTATTCTGCACATTTCCATGAATTAATTGAATCTTGGCTTATGAACATGTCTGTGATGAGGTAAGGGGTTTGGCTCAATACAGGTGATGATAAGCAGCTCAACATGGAGGACAGTGCCGATCTTTTCTACTGGTTAATGAAAAAGGAGCTGATTTGGCACCTTTCACAATCACTCTACTGACTTAAAACATGAATCAAAGTATTTTCAAGACTATTTGTGGTTTTCATGAGTCCCCTATTCTCTTGGTATTTGCAGGGTAGGATGCTGTGAGCCTGAACGATTGCATAGTGACTGAGGCATTGGGTTACTATTGCAATACTGTGCAATAATGGAATTTTCTGTAGATATGGTCAACAACAATTCTTGCAATAATTAGTTCTCTGACAAAAAGCTGTATTTTAAAGTTTGCAACCCTACTGGTATTCTCAGAGGCATTGAAAGCCTGCTAAAAGTATGGGTGTATTATTAGTATACAATTTCTGTGCAGTACACAGATTGTGGACCAGACATTTTCTACATGGACATAGAAAATGCAACATGAAAATTATAATTTTTAATTCTTTCATTTTAAATCTACATTTCATGCACTTTTGAACTACTGGTGGCACCTTATGTTTTCATTACAAGGAGTGAATTTGGGGTCTATATGAAATATTAAAAACTCTAAATAGCTATTTTGGGGGAAAAAAAAATCTTTAAAGTATATGCCAGAAGAGCTCTGGTAACTGGCATGAAAGTTCGTTCAGAAGTTTTTTGTACTCCAAATTTTAGCAAGTTAGGACTATTCTAGCACATCAAGTTACTGGCAGACACAGAGCACATTATAAGGAACAGTCATTGGGAGTGAAAATTGGATTCACAGTTTTCACACAGGAAATCTGGTTGCTAGTGTTATGCTTGAACAAAACCACGGGATTCAGCTAATCACTCTCCACTCAGGTTTCAGATACATACAGAGATCTGTTCACTAACAAACTATAAACCAAAAGGTAGAAAAGCTAGAATAAAATAAACCAATGACACAATTAATAATTGCGTTTCACTTAAACCTCCTCTGAAACACCTGGTCCTGCCTCTCTCAGAGACCCAGTACTGGAGGTGTTGGCCTTAGGTTTCATGCCATGTGGCAGTTTATATATTGTTGTTATTTTGAAGTCTTGTATGGTATAAAACTGTGTGCTTGTTTCTGCGCACAGGAGTGAATTTTGTACAGAATCAATACAGATGAAATCATTTCAGTTTGCCCCAGAATAATTAACAACCAGCAGAAAAACAAAAGCAGATTCTCGACTAAGTGTTGGGGTTTGCATGTATCTGTACTCAGAATTCCATATATCTCTGGGCGAGTGCAAAATGTCCTTTCAAAGGCAGTATTGTTATTAAAAGAATGTGATTTCATTCATGTGCTTATAGTTTTCACTATTGAAAATAATGTGATTCAGAGATATTTCTCATAATGCCCAGCAGTAAATAATTGGTCTTCTGGGCCCTTTGTTTTAATTGATGACAAAAATATATGAATGTGTACATTTTGAGAGAGGCCTTAAATGAAGCCATTTGTTAGAAGGGCTGTTTCTTTTTCAGCTTGGGTGCGCAAGAATATGAAGGAGTTTAGTACAAGTAATAGTAAAAAGATTGTTTGTGGATCTCACTGTAACTAACACGGCATTTTGGTTTGCTAAGAGGGTATTTCTCTTCAGTTTATGTCAGTAATGGAAGCCCCCAGAACTCCCGTTAACTTTGTCTATAAATTTTCATTTGTGGCATTTTTATTTAACTAGTCCAAAATTCACTCCCATTTTCCCTTCTTACATAGTAATAGCTACTGGTCAGCTATCCTAAATCTTGTGGGTGACTTGGATGGCAAATCTCTCCAAGTTTTTTGCTGCTCTGGACTGACTTTCTTCGGGGTGATAGCACATATATCTGCCTTTTCCCAGCAGGAGGTTATACTCAGAAATTCTCCCTCACTTTGATCACACATTTTGTGCATGCTGAGTCAGATGCTGTGCCCACACAGTTAAAACACAACTTTAGTAATGGTGGATCAAGCCCTTCCTATGCAGATCTCACCTTGGTTGAGAGAGGAGCTGCCCCTGAGGAATAAAAGCAGTGTGTGCTACAGTCATCGAGAGTACTGATTAGAGAAGGGAAATCCAGCCTTCATTAGCGGATCGTGACTGTGGTCCCGGCCAACTGTGTATATTCAAGAAGTCAGGATCCTAAACCCTGTCTCCTTCAAGTAGCTCTGCCACTAAGCATTCTCTTGTCTTTCTTAAAAGAAAATATGATTTTCTGTGATCTTTTGAAATTAAATACAAGCCTTGGAACAATGGGTTCTAATGTGTGTGGAATACACAGCAACTCTTTTTGTGCTATGTGTGTAGACCTAAGAAAGTCTAACCAGATAGAGCGTCTAGCTAACTAACCAATTAAAATATTTTTAATACTCTTTGTGCAAAGCTCACATACTAAGTTGTTAGCATATACATATATAGGCTCCAGTCTTGGAGCTACATCCAGACAGAGAAAGCCCTTGTTTTCAGACAAGACAGATTTTGACAGATCTTTGTACAAACACAGG